TTCCAGCCGCCACATTGGATCTAAGCAGCGCTGCGACGACCAACAGTCCGCACGAGTTGTCTACATTGGTTTAAAGTGTTGCTTGGAAAGTTGTGTGGTTTTGTTCAATGATTGAATTTTAATCGGAGGATTGAGTCTTCGTTTTGGAGATCGTTACAGTTAACCAGCAGGTTTTTTGGTTTGACATCTGGTTCGTACATGATTAAACGTCAGACCGAAGATCGATTCTTGGGTCGAAATACGAGTGTTATGTGGAAATTTTTGTTCTTGGTATGAAAATCGAATGTTAGTCTAGAAATTGAGATTTGGCTTTTAAAGATTAATTTTCGGTATGGAAATTGAATATTAGTTAGAAGTCGTATCTTGATTTTGCCGTGATTTAGAGATCGCGACATACTTTGGGGGTTGATTTTTTATTCAAGGCAGGTCCGAAGGTGTCTAACCTTCAGATGCCATGTAGAGTTTAAAAATCAAGGGAAAAATATATTTATAATTTTTTTTCTACACACTACAGAAATTGAATGTCTGACTTAGAAATGTGGCCAGTTAACGAGTTAATTGGTAGGATGATTATTCTATGAGTGTAAGATTCAGTTCATCGATTCCAGCGGGTCAGTCTTCGATTTCCATCGATTCGTTTTTTCCCCTCTGCGATATGTACTTGCATTTGAAATTGGTTCGAAGTAGTTTCAACACCTGTTGCTTCGAGGATCATGAGCCTCTGCTGTTTGACGTTTGTCCGACACGTGCGTTCCTCGTATACGGCGGTTCTTTCAGCACGCCAGTTCGATTGTCGGTTCCGGTTGTTACCTTTCCTCGAAAATACGAGTCGAGTTAAGTTTTCTTACTCGAACGAAAGCACTGGAAGCCTCGTTGTTTTAAAGTATTCGATTCCAGAGGAGCAACTCGTTTTGACTTGAGAATGATGGTACAATTGTTTCCAAATAACGAATTGTACGATAAACAATTATAAAAAAAAGTGTGAAAGTGACTTCGAAATGCGTTTGATACATCGAGAAAACGAGAAAAGCGTGGATCATTCGGAAATGCGGAGAAAAAAAGGTGCAAAGATATATATGTTAAGAAGTTGCTTCTAACGGACATCGGCCGTTGAACAAATTAATTCCTAAATAACGTCTTATTGACGTCGTGAATATTAAAAAAGCAACGATTAATTTATACCTGCGTGTATCTTGCCATTTATTATTACAACTATTATTATTATTAATATTACTAGTATTACTTAATTTACGTTATTATTAATATTAATATTATTGCCTTTATAATATTGTTACTATTATTGTTCTCATCCTGGTTCCCACTTTTGTGGTTTGGCAATCATGTGATGGGTTCTTTTTTTACCAGGTCACGTGTTCTAGTACTACTGCAATGTTTTTCTGACTATTGCTGTTGTTTTCAATAGGATTGCTTTATGTATGTTGAGTGAATGTGTGTATGTGTATTTAGTGTTTTAAGATGATTCAGGAAGTTCTTAGTTGTGATACCTATAATGGATATGATGATTGGTACTATTGTTACTGTTTCTTGCTTCCAGAGCTTTTTTAGTTCGATTGCTAATGGTGTGTATTTTGTAATTTGTTCTTGTTCTTTTTGTGTGATTTCTTTTCTTTTTCTCTTTTACTTGATCTTTTCTTCTTTTTTACTATTATTATTATTACTGCTATTATTAATATTATTAACGTTATGGAACCTCTAGTCCTAGGTTACTTTCGCATGCACGAAAGAATAAGGTTTCTCAAATTTTTGACTACCGCGCGATTTAGTGATTACGAGTTGCCTTGTCGCGCATGCGCAGTGGAAGGGAAACTCGCAGTTTATAAATCTCGAAATATAGAGAGCTCGAAGCTATACAAGATAAAGAAAATTGTATTTATATTGTGAAAAAAGCTGCTTTTCAATACCAAAACTACGAAAACAATCCAAACAATTGATTTACATTGCTTTTTATTTTATTGCCAAAATTTTTCGTTAAACAAAATAAACTATTATCTCGCTGCGAAGAACTCTATAATTCGAGACTGGATGTTTCATTAAGCTCACATCGAAATGTAAATCGTCTTGATTTTATTATTTGAGCGTATATACTATATATGCGTGTTTGTTCCTTCTTTATTATCGTGCACAGAGCCTATAGCTTAATCATTTCCAGTAAACGTTAGTTATTGAGTCCAAGACCGATAGGAGTTTAGACTTAAAACATACTTAGGATTATTTAAACGAGAGATTAAAAGATGAAAGTATTGTTTTTACAGTGTAAGTGTTCATACGAAATACAACCGACCGTGTCTCTGTGTGTATAGTACGAATTCCTTTAAGAGGAATAATATATGTATAATTCTTCGTAGCTTTTTCAATATTTAGGGATATTCCATGTTAATTTTATGAGAACGTACTTATATTTCTTTTTTCACTTTAGTCTAGAATAAAATGAAAAACAAGATAAGTAGAAGAAATTCAATATACGAATATGTGTACGAGTCTATGAAGAATGTAATCGGCGCCATTTTTGAAAGACAAATCTATGTTGTTATATACCTCCTCGATATCCTCGTTCGTTCAGATAGAAACACTTTTTGATTGTGATTTACTTCAAAATTGTGAAAACTTGTTAACAAGCTTCTGATCAGGGTTTTATATTGTATTATTAAATTCACGTTTACAGCGGTCGGATCAGTGTCCGTGTACATAATATGTAAAACAAATCCAGAATATACAAACTATACCGAATACGTTCTGAATTATATTCAAATTGGGCAGGGTAAGCGAATGAAAATATGTAAATTTTATGATATAATTGTAAACTTTATATCGAATTTGTAAGTAGTGTAGTAATAGAATATTTTACATGTAACAAATATACGAGCGACAATACACAAGTTAAATTATTTGTTAGGTTCATGTATAACATGCATAGTACAAAAGTGTTTTAGCTTTATGTACTGGTACTTACAAGGCATATTGACTTGATAGATGTACTTGGTATGTACCTAGTTAAGAAGAAAAAGAATAAATTATTCTGAACAAATGAATTGAAATTCAGATTGAATTTAATATCTAGTGGACTTCGTAAAATACAAATTTTTTGAAAGTGTATTTCTCTTCTAACAATAAGCAGTAAAGAGGTATGAGCAAAGGAAATCAAAGAATCAAATCTTACTTAAAAAGTATTTAAATCATTGTTTTATTATTCCAAGTGAAGGTCAACAATGTACAAAATCTGAATAAATAAGATTCTTCAATATAAATGAATTTTAATTATATTTATAGAATAGTGTAATATACTTCATGATTTGATTTAGTTGCCAGTTAATATATTTTTCACGTTATACACTATTTATACTTATGTTACTATTATTTCTTGCTATTTTGAATAATCTTTAAAAAGTTTGTCTTATTTACAATATGTCAACAGTTCAAGATGTAAATAACTATATGGAAGAATTACAACCTATTTTATAATTGATACAGTAATCTGTCATATTGGTTAAAAAAATGTATAACTTATATTTTAATTTTAACTCTTAAGTGTATTAAGAATATAGAATCAATTTTTTTATAGCTATATAGACTTCAAAGTGGTAATAGAATAGACTATAGTGAATAACTTTACATACATATCTTATTACTATATATAAAATATTTCAGTTTTACTACAATTGCAATATGTATGTTAGCTTTACATTAAGAAGCTAAGTTGTTTATTGCATGTTTTTAATCCCAACATTTTAATAATTATAAGAGGAATCCTTGTACAAATTTCTAAATAACTAGAGACAATTCTAGTTATGCTCTCGCATCGTTAATCGTTGATGGAACTCTGACTTCAATTCCATCTAGTTCTTTAGTCATGACTATTTGATTTTACTAATGATAAAATATGCATAAATATGCTTAGATTTCTGTTAAATCAACTGAACAATGTTTAAAAGACAACATTATAAACATGTTAATATAAGTATTCAAATATACCAAAGGTACACTCATAAATAAAAAGTTGTGACACTATTCACTTTGTTGATTTCAGTTTCATAGAATTCAAGACAAGACAAATTGAAATTCTATATTTAGATGTAGAACTGAATGTCTAAGATAGAAGGTATCCCACACAATATTTGGTAATAACATTATGTAGAAAACTCAAGCTTATGAAATATTAATAATATAGATTTAGTCCAATGAAATACAATGATGTAAGGTATAAAGATTATTCAACTATTCTTGGCTTACGTGTCTGTTAATTCATATGCTAGATCCAACATATCTAATTCTTCATCTGTTGGTTTGTCAGGAAGTGCATCATAAATATCTTTTGGAAATATTAAATGGCATGTGCTACATGTTAATGTTCCTTCACAAGCACCTATATAAATTCCACAGTGTTTATTAGAAATTACTTTATTTGAAAGAATGTAATTAATAACCAATAAACATATCATACCATATCCATCTAGATCAATTTCATTGTTCACAACAATGTCCAAAATAGTATCTCCAACTTTTCCTTTTGCTTTGATTTTCTCTCCACTTGCCTTAACAAATGTTATATTTACTCTGGAAGTAAGCAATAAAAAAATAATATTCTTTCAGCTTTTTAAAATATAAAAAGAGCCAAATCATATTTTAATTATTTGATATAGTTAACTAGGTTTCTATATACATATGCTTGTATTTTTGTACACTTCTATAGATAAACACATGCATCACGACATTATTTTGATACTGTTAATTTCATCGAAGTTATTGATATCAATTTTTATTAATATAATCTAATATGTTATATTCAAAGTAACATTCGCATTATTTATTTTTACGCTATTACGACACTGAACTATTCACTGTCAACGTTACTTCTATTAGTATTTCAATAACTTCTATTAGTAAAATATAATAGAACCCAATTTTTACTAGTTTTCATTCCTCACATTATAACACAAGTTCGATACTATTCTGTGTTGAAAGTTACACATTGAGAGCAACTTAAAAAAAAAGAAAAAGACAAGAGTAGGGAAGATGGCGTTTTTACTCACTCTTGTTTTTTCGAAAGTGGTTGTGTTGTTGAGGTTCCTCTTGTCGCCTGCAAAAAAGGCAATGTTGTGTTGCTTGTGTATTTTGTATAATTCGAAGCGATGCCGAGAATTGATCGCGAGAACCTTTGAAATTGTTTTACTAACGCCATTCCACTGTCGGAATATCATAAAGACGAGACACCCTCAGCAAACACCACGAAGATATTACGGAAAATATCAGTCAGCCGAATTGTATTTCGTACAGGAACTTTCACGACATTCTTTCGATACGATACTGTGTTACGCACCTTTCAACGAGAAGGTTATGAAATAGTCCCTAACACAAGTGACGTGTACCGGCACGTGCTTTGATCCACGCATTTCAACCGTGAACTAACACATTCAACACGGTCTTGTTTCACTATACCAGGTTTTAATCATTGTTGCAACCTATGATAATGACTAATATTGCTTGTGTATTGTTCTATATATAATAGCTTTGTATCTTTATACATATAATAACTTTTTAACACATTTAAGATTGTTATTACCATCTTATATATTAGATAACATATCTAATAAACATTATTTGAAATTTTTCGATGCAAATGAACAATCCACCTTGGCTTAATCTTGGCTTGTTGACATTGTTTATTATTTTTCACTTCGGTAAAACAAATTATAATTAATGAAGTTTAGAAGTATGTGACGTTTTGTTAATTTTTCTTAAAAAGAGATAGTCCCTTTGTTGAATAGGCGGATGGCTAGTAACTAATTGTTATAAGAATTTTGAATGTGATAGTTGGTATTGATTGTAGCACTATCATTGTTTACAATGTATTACGGTCAATGAAATGTAACAAATTAATTTTTCGAGGGAAAATTTCATATGTAGATGAAATTACTTAAATAAAATGGCAGATGATAATGTTCTTTTTGTTCGAGAAAATGGAAATGTATGTGTGTTTTCAATAATATACTTAGTTTATAATTTATTGATATTAGGTTAAAGTGGAATTTGATTACAATGTAACGAAAATTTAAACTGATT